GTGACTCAGACAAGCCCTAAATGACATTAAATAAAAGACATAATTAAATAAGCAAGTAATTATACTTTTAATTACACGTCACATAAATTTGAAGTGTATACATAATTAAATGAGTCACATAATTTTACTTTTAATTGAACATATATCACCTAAGTTCATATTCTGACAACAATGATACTAGGGGTTTGTTAGAACTTCATTTTTTTGGAGAATAAATTATGTAATAGTAATTTTTTAAAGAATGTACTGTTAAAAAATAGAGAAAATTTAGAATTTATGCGTAAAATTGTTTTTTTGGGAGAACATATAATTGAAAATGAGTTTAAAAACAAATAAATTCTGCGGTTATGTTACACATATATAATGATTTACATAAATATGATATGATGAGATGTGATCGAGTCATAATTTCTTCAACAAAATAAAAAAAGTCCTCAGTAACTTTTTGACACTTCATTTATATGTAAACATCATGTTATTTCATATAAAAGTAGCATTGTTCTATTTTCCATGTTACCGTCAGTGTGACTTTAGAAACTTGTTTGGTAGAGATTAAAATCGAATTAAAATTGAAAAATTAGCCGTTATTTTGACTTTTATTAGACGAGTGAGACCCAATAACGATTATATTTTCAATTTTAATTCAATTTTGAGTTGTACCAAACAAGCTCTAGATGTAAAAATCACATTTGATACTTTGCTTACAATTGATCATATGAATTATGAGTAAAGCTATTTGAACAGTGTCACGTACCACCTATTCAAATAGGGGGCGATTAGGGATGACAATGGGCCGAGCCGGCGAGCCTTATGCCCACGAGTCGAGCTCGTGGCTCGTTTATAACGAATTGAGCTTTTGCTCGGCTTGTTACTCACTGGTCGAGCTCGACTTGGCCCAGCCCGTGAGTTCGTGGGTCGGCTCGCGAGCTCGTTAAATTTTTTTGTTTTTCTAATATAATACTTTTTTCTGAAAAAAAGTTACCTTCACAAAGAAGAGCCCATGAGCCGCTCGCTCGGGTCGACTCGGGCTCGGGCTCGTCACCGGCTGGTGGCTCGTTTTTTAACGAGCCGAGCCGACGAGTCGATCTGCTCGATTGCCTTCTTTTTCACGAGCCGAGCCGACGAGTCGATCTAAAAAAAAAAAAAAATTCTCCCCCAATCTCATTTTCAACCATAAATTTTTTTTTTTTTTTAAACTCTATATTCTTAAAAAGATTACTATTACGAAATTCATTCTCAATGAAAATGGTAGGACTGGACAAAACTCATGAACCGAATTGATCGAATCGGACCCGAACCGAATCAAACGGTTCTTCTTAACTTAAATACCCGAACAAGTATTTGAATTGAGAACCGATAGGTTCTATTCGGTTCTCTATTCTAGATCAAGAACCGAAAAATCAAATTTCCTTAATTTTTTTATCTTAAATAAATCAAATTATTTTATTTTTTTTTCTAAATGAAGCTGCTAATAATTAATTTAACTCAAATTCAAAATATGATTTACTATTTCTAATTTTTAGTCAAGTCTAATTTAATCAAATTGACTTAAGTTTTATCCAAATCTCTTATTCTACCGTAGTACCATTTCTACCATCTATTATCGTGAGCTCGCTATCTTCCTCTTTTTATGATTTAACAATCAAATTTATGAAAAACTCAACAAATAGAGACGCAAAATATATCATGGGATTGGACTAGGCTATTTTGTAAGAGCTAATATTGAACATGCCATGGTTGAATTAATGTAGCATTGTTGTAAATTTTAAAAAATTAATTATTGTACGGAACTCGAGAACCGAACCTAATCAATTGGAATAGAACTAGAACGGTTCCACAATTTAATTTGGACACAATGATTTGACTTACTAAATATTAGAAATTTGGGTTCGATTCGATTCTAAAGAAAATCGAATTGAATCGGACCATGTCCAACCCTACAAAATGGGGTTCAATAATAGTTCACATTTAAATTGTCTCAAGACCTTCAATCTTTGTTCATTATACCCTTTATGCCTCAAAACATTTTTCGATGCGTTCTATCGTCAACTATTTACCGATTAGTATATCTCGTATTTGATAATAATTTTCTTACAAAAAGTTCGTTTGAGGCATAAAATGACTTATTTGCTCATCATGTTTTTTGAAAAATAATAATAAATGTAAAAGTGCGATAAAAATATCTTTTACATATTTCAAAGCATGCAATTTCTATTTTTTCTTTTTAACAGAACCATTGTCTAATACGAGATATGTTAATTAGTCGAATATGAGAATTCGACGAAAAAAAATTATGGATATGTGTTATAATGAATAAATGTTATGACGTTAAATGAAATTAGAATAAAATACAACAAATAAAAAGTAATATAATTATAGCTATTTCCCTTTGAGTGTTTCATAATCTTAAAAAACTTACAACTCCCTCTACAAAATATCAAGTTGTGTGATGCTATTTAGTAACAACATCGGCCGTGTGGTATTAAGCCCTTGTTTGAGCCTGAATTTTTTCATCGAAGTGTATTTTTGAACATTGATTTGATCCAATTTCAATCATATATTTTTCAATAAAATAATATTACTCGCAAAATTAAATTTTTTTCTTATTTTTTAATCTTACATTCTCATCACAACACTATTACAAATGCATTTTTTTGAAACAAGGTGACTCAGACAATCCCTAAATGACATTAAATAAAAGACATAATTAAATAAGTCAAGTAATTATACTTTTAATTACACGTCACATAAATTTGAAGTGTATACGTAATTAAATGAGTCACATAATTTTACTTTTAATTGAACGTATATCACCTAAGTTCATATTCTGACAGCAATGATACTAGGGGTTTGTTAGAACTTCATTTTTTTTTGGAGAATACATTATGTAATAGTAATTTTTTAAAGAATGTATTGTTAAAAAGTAGAGAAAATTTTGGATTTACGCGTAAAATTATTTTTTTGGGAGAACGTATAATTAAAAATGAGTTTAAAAATAAATAAATTCTTAAAGAATGAGACTCATATATTGACTAAATAACATTGTTCTATCAAGATGGTTACCTTATCCAGTCACATATTTTCTGCGATTACGCTACATGTATATAATGATTTACATAAACATGATATGATGAGATGTGGTCGAGTCATAATTTCTTCAACAAAATAAAAAAAGTCCTCAATAACTTTTTGACACTTCATCTGTATGTAAACATCATGTTATTTCATATAAAAGTAGCATTGTTCTATTTTCCATGTTACCGTCAGTGTGATTTTAGGAGCTTGTTTGGTAGAGATTAAAATTGAAAAATTAGACATTATTATTGACTTTTATTAGACGAGTGAGACCCACTAACGACTATATTTTCAATTTTAATTCAATTTTGAACTGTATCAAACAAGTTCTAGATGTAAAAATCACATTTAATACTTTGCGTACAATTGATCATATGAATTATGAGTAAAGTTGTTTGAACAGTGCCACGTACCACCTGTTCAAATAGGGGGCGATTAGCGATGATAATGGGCCGAGCCGGCGAGCCGTATGCCCACGAGCCGAGCTCGTGGCTCGTTTATAATGAACCGAGCTTTTGCTCGGCTTGTTACTCACGGGTCGAGCTTGGCTCGGCCTGGCCCGTGAGTTTGTGGATCGGCTCGCGAGTTCGTTAAATTTTTTTGTTTTTTTAATATAATACTTTTTTCTGAAAAAAAGTTACCTTCACAAAGACGAGTCCATGAGCCGCTCGCTCGGTCGACTCGGGCTCGTCATCGGCTCGTGGCTCGTTTTTTCACGAGCCGAGCCGACGAGTCGATCGGCTCGATTGCCTTCCCTAGGGGCGATGTGTCGCCCTGGATGAATAGGGTTGGCCGTGTTTATCTAGCAGGGAGCGACTTTCTTTTTTCCTTTTTTTTTTCTTTTTTTTTTTAACATGTAAACAATAATATCATTTTTTTTATAGGCCCTGTTTGGGAGAGATTAAATTTTTCTACAGTAAATCAATTCTCATTTTCAACCACACATTCTTCAATAAAATAATATTTTCCATCAAATCAATAACTTTTTCTTCTTTGTCAACCACACATTTCCCAACATATTACTTAAAAATTAAGGTCTTGTTTGGGAGGGATTAGATTTTTCTACAGTAAATCAATTCTCATTTTCAACCACACAGTCTTCAATAAAATAATATTTTTCATCACATCAATAATTTTTTCTTCTTTTTCAATCACACATTTCCCATTATATCACTATTTAAAATTAATTCTTTTCTCAAATATCTCTCCCAAACAAGTTCATAGTACGTGGACAATAATATCCAGGTTACCATTACTCTTTCCTTAACAATTCAACCAACTCAGGTACCTTACCCTTCAAACACGAAATTGTTGAGATACATTTGCTAATTTTTTTGGTAAAGAATATCCCAAAAGACCCGTCAAAATCTTTTGCTGCCTTTGCAAGAATTGCATCCAAATAACTACGTATAAGCATCACAAAATAAAAATCTGGTTTAATAAATATTTAGCAAATAATTACTGGTTAAAATCTCCATTAACCCAATCTTCATCGAGCAAAATATTTGCAGCTGTAATGGATATCTGGCGAAGAGCTCGGAGCTTCGCGGAGGAAGCCGCAAAGCAATCACAGGAGCTGACGCAGGGAATCACCTCGGTTAACCTGTCCGACGTCGTTTCGGAGGCGTCAAAGCGATCCAAGGAGTTAGCCGCCGAGGCGTCGAAGAAGTCGATGGAGCTAGCCAATGAGGCGATGAAGCGCGCCGATCAGATCACGGCTCAGCTTCCGCCGTCAGCCGTTGCGGCGCTGAATAATCTTGTGGACTCATCTGAAAAGGGCAACGAGGCTGATCTGGAGAAGTTTGGGGTGACTGATGATTTGAGGGAGTTTGCCAAGGGTATCACTATTAGTACTTTTCAGGAATTCCCGCTCGAAGGTATTGTATTCCAAAATATTACTTGATCTGCGTTTGTTAGTTGCTTTTTGTATGCCGTTAAACGAGGTTTTCCACTGAATACCTCTTTCAACGATTTGATTGGCATTGTTTTTCTGTATTGGTAATTTTGAGGCTCATTAGTTGCTGAAGATTATGAAGAAAACGGGTTAATCAGAATGATTCCAATCTAAATATCCCTTAGATCCTAAATCTTTGTTGCAAATAGTATGTAGAAGCCTTCCGCGTCCTACAAGGTCCAACTAATTCCTGTATACAGTAATGTATCTGACCGTTTTGGGTTCTTTTTGTTCATCAGATTGGATAAAGTCGTGAATTTTATGAAAAATGCTAAATAGATATATAAACCTTTGGCGATAGTGCGAGCTTGTTTGCTCTCTAGACATCCCCGAATGTAGAATTATGTTTCTTGGATGACCATTCATATTGGATTTCAAGTTTCCAATTTTTCTCCACTTTTCTTTTGCTTTTGCTTCCATTTACTGTTTTATGGTTGGAGTTTAACGATTACAAGAAAGGAAAGAAAACTCCATGGCGGAATTTACTATTACTTTGGAAAATGTTGGAAACTTTTTGCCCCTTCCCCGTCTTTTTCTCTTTATGCTTTTATTTTCTTTATGCACCTTTTGCTCCAAGAACTCATTTGGACCATTAATTTTTATGTGCAGACGACTCAGAGATGTCTGATGGTGCTATGGTTTCAAATGTCCGTCAGGATCTCAATGAATGGCAAGAAAAGCATGCGAAGCTTGTTCTCTCAACTGTGAAGGTTAGATATATCCTGCTAATCAGCAACACCTATGGTAATGGTTAAGTGGGATGAAGGTTAGATCTATCTTGCTCACCAGCAACACATATGGTAGTGGTTAAGTGACAAAACAAAGTGTCTAAACCTTGTTCCCAATATATTTGAAACTGGCTTATTAGTGGCTAAGGTAAGAATTACACATCTAATACATACATGAAGACAATAGAAAGAATCCTTTGAGTTATGCGATTGCATTCTTCAATTGGAGGTCTTGAAATTCAATTAAATCACAAATAGCGATGTCAGGAATGACTGTATGTATGTATTGCCTAATTAAGTACCCTCCTCGATGTGGTATGTGGATGTGAAGAATATTTGAAACTACTCTGAAATCTCGATCAGTAAGATTTGTGTGCAATGCCCTTTTCCTGCAAGAGCTTCTCTTTTTTCTTGTGAGGACCGGGATGGCCTCACTTTGAAACGCCGGATATCTAATTTGTGCTGTCCAAAAGGAATTTCATTGTATACGGCATATAAGGCTAGGTGTTGGTTTCAGTCTCTTTCCCAGGTTCGAGCAAACTCCAGAAGATGGTCCTGCTGACTCTACTGCATCTATCATTCAATATTTCAATGGGGCCCCTTTGTACACGTTTGCAACTAGGGGTCCCTATAGCCATATTAATAGTCAGTATTAGTCCTAACTCCTGTGTATGTTTTCTTCTTGGATCTTCAATCTACGATCTATTTTTCCGCTTTTCATCCTTCAAAATATAGGTTCGACTATCGGTGTGACAAGTCCCAGCTTAATGCAAACACAATGATATTTAATGCCACAAAATGGCAAGTTTTCTATAAATAATAGGCCAGAATGTATGGGAAGACTTCCTTTTGTGCTGGAGTGCCCCTGATGTGAAGCAATACTTTGGTTTTTGGAGCATTAATGAATGAGTAAAATCTTCTCCTATTGAGTAGAAGTCATCATTGTATTATTGTAAGTTCTTCTTTCACTTGCCCAAACTAATATCTGAGCTAACAAAGTCTAAATTTTTCCATCACCTGGGAATAGTAAATACAACACAGGCCCCAAAGAAATAGACAGGAAATACTCCTTGATCTCATTTCTAGATGAAGTTAGTGTTATGAGGATTTGTTGCAAAGCTGCTGAGGGAATTCTTTATATTCACTTTCTTATGGTTTGGTAGGTTGTATTGGTTGAAATTTTCATTAGTGAAAAAGGTTCTGTAACCGACATCGTTTCCATTGAGAATGTGGCTTTGTTGTTGTTGATTACATTTAAGAGAGTGAAACTGGCTTCAGACACTTCTTGTTTCTTGTGAAGGGAAAGCATAAGACAGCAGAGCAGAGTGGTTGTGAATCTAGTGGAGTGCCAAAATGAACATAAGTATTGCGATGTATATAACTGAGTTAGTATTATTGATGGAGGACAAGTTTTATAATGAGGTAACTTGGTGTGAATTTCTATTCACACAAATGCTGTTAAGGATTTAGGCGTTTATGATTTGCTGCTACACAGCATATTTAAAGCAATGAGTTTCTAGCTATCTTTAGTTTGCTGTTTGAGTTTCTCACATAGCTCAATAACAAGACTGAAATAAAAAAATGTGTTTGGGATTCAATTAGGCTTTCTGCTAGCACAGATGCATGGATATAGTTTTGTAATCCTCTTTATCCTCCCAAAACCCCCAAATGGGATGGCAGATATGTTCTTTTTGGTGTTGTTTGGAAATGAACATTAGTTTACTCGAGAAAAGAAAAGTAAATTCGAATAATAGTTGGTTTACCCAGATTTACCTTTGTCAACCTGCATGGACATGCTTCAAAATTATCTCCCCTCTATTGTTTCTCCTTCTTTAAAAATTAGATCATGTCTGCATGCTAGTTGCTGCGTCACAGGGTTATGCCCTATGACAGTTATATTTGGATCTTGTGCCTAAGTAATATGGCTGTTTTCACTAATGTTATCTGGGATATGTTTTTCATTTGTCTCATAATGATATAATTTTGCAAACCCTGCTGTTTGGATTTTGGGATGGTTTACTAGAATCGGAATCATATTTCATGCATGATCAAGACAAGCTGACTAGGAAACATGCTGTAGGGGTGGGAATGGGGTTGGGGAGAGGAAAAGAATGATACAAAGAACAAGTTGAATCTTATTAACTGTCATCTTTAATTTAAATGAATTCAATGACTAAGTGAAACCCTTAAACACAGCATTGCAACAGTAATTAAATGATGTTGTCTTGCAGGAAATCTCAAAGCTAAGGTATGAGTTATGCCCCAGAGTGATGAAGGAGAGGAAGTTCTGGAGGATCTACTTTATTCTGGTTAGCAGTCATGTGGCACCGTAAGTAACTTTTTCCCTGTGAAGTCTTATTTTGGATTGATTTGGCAAAGACTGTTTATGCTGCACTTAAAACCAACTATTTCTTCTGTTTTGAGTTTTTAAAGCGTTTTAAATATTTAGGTACAGAATATGAAATTAAATACTGGTGATGCTTTGTATTAATGCTGAATATATTTCGGTTTGACATTTTGCTCTTTTTTGGGAATGCGTAAAATTCTGCTGAGCTCCTAACTTGAACATGAATTGAGGGAGGGAGGGAGGTGAATCTGAAATAGATTTTGTCCACCTCATTTTCTTTGCTGTTAGAATCTTGGTATGTGAACACTGCTTCTCCTGGTACTTCAATTGCTCTATACTTTGGATAAAGCAGTTTTTTGATCTAGAGATGAACTTTGCGTTCTAGTCTACTGATTTAGTTCATATTATAAAGCTTCTCCAGAATTCTCATCCCAACAAAGAGTTACCATGATTGAACACCCATGTAGTATATGGCCATTAATCAAATATGCTGTTTGATTTGTACCTGCATCTACTTCAATCTTTTTAGTTCTTTGTCTTTTGTTGGTAAAGCACGTTCTTCCTAGGACTCGCGACAACATCACTTGCTATACAGTGAGAAGCCGCGATAACTATTTTTATGGAAGGAAGTTTACTGCATATGACTTGAGTTTAGCTGAATTTTTTCTTGTGTTTCTTATGAAGTGGAAGCACAGTTTGCTTAATGTATGTGATCACGATCTTCATGATATTAATTATAAATGGAAATCATGAAACTTGGGATGTGGTATCAACAATCGCTATAAACGTCTTTTAAGTCTCTCTCTCTCTCTCACACACATTTTTTGGGGTGTGGATTAATGAGTCTTGACTAGAATACTTCTAATTTTATTGGTAGGTATGAAAAGAAGTATATGGAGGATGTAAAGCAAAAACACGTTGAAAAGATTAAAGATTCTGAGGTGAAGGAAATTTCATCGGGTGTAACATCTCCTAAAATGGCAGTTGAGGATTCAAACCAGAAAAGCACTAAAGCGAAGTCATCAGCATCTGAGNGTCACAAAACTGTAACTCACTCAGGTTCCAACCTAGTCACTATGTCTGCAAGTTTGGTATTCTCAAACTCTGCTTTACCTTACCTTGGTGTGAAGAATAATAAAACCTCACTTTCTTGGTGTGAAGAATAATAAAACCTCACTTCATATGTATTTGAAAAACTCTTTCTTTTATTCCATTCATCCACCCTCCCCCCCCTTCTTTTATTATTCAGCGATGAATCATAGCACGAAACATTCTTTCTTACTCTCTGCAGAATCATAGCATGCTGTTATCTTTTTGGTTTCTCAGATGACAGGGAAGATGGATTTGAAGATGATTTTGACAAGATATAGCTTGGTGAGTGCAATTCATTGTATATATCTGTTCTCCCTTGTACTATTTGTAATGAATAAATATCGTTAATCAAATTCTATTGCAGAAATCAGTCCAGAGAAACAGTTGCTAATTTTGTAATCATGTACTTGCTAAGAACCTATGTGTTGCATTGATTAGTTCCTTCCAAAAAGGTTATTCATAGATGGAACAAAAATCTAATATTGAGAGAATGCTATCCCCGACAAAGGTAACCTAGGGAAAAAGATGATTTAAGTACTACTGCTCACATGTAGTATGGCAGGCAATAGAAAGATCAAGAAATTATACAGAAATATCTCTGAGTTCGAAATTCTTATCCAGAAGCTGACCAAACCTTGAAAAATCTTCAACATATATAAAAACGTAGTATAATTTATGTAAATAACTGATTTCTGAATATACGAAATAATTCCCGACTCATAAAGAGCAAAATGGAACTCCCTAAATCAGGAACACTCAATTACAGGACGACTTGCACTACAAAATGTCTTTGGTGGAATTTGAGTTATGCTGGCATTTCTTCCTTTTGCCTGTTTTATTCTGCTATTGTTGTTGGGAAAATGTAAAATCAACCTCTGACATTAGTGCTTTGGCCTTTGAGTACTGCTCTTTTGGTAGTAAAGAAGTGAGGAATGGAAGGAACTCGAAGGGGAGGATAGTCACTTTAGCAGAAAGTGTCAATATCTTCAGTCAAGTGGCCAATGTGGTGGCTTCATGAATTATGGAATACGAATTTAACGACAGCCATAGAATATGCAAAGAGTGCATCTATTTATTTCTAGTGAAAGCTTGTTTACGAGTGGACCTTCAAGATTCTACAGTTTACCTGTGCATAAATTTTATTTGGTTAAGTGATCAAAATTAGGTCCAAGTTTTGTTTAAAAGAAATTCTTGGATATAGTGAACAGAACCTGATATGGTACCGTCACTGGTGAGTGGTGACACATTTTCTTCTATACAGGAGGAGTTATTTCTATAGATGATGCAATGTGATTTTATTTGCTGCTGGGCCATGACAGTATTATAAGAGCATGTTTGACTCTGCTTGGAGAGTAATTCAAACTTACTTTTAAGTCGTTTTTGCAAACGTGATTGTCAAAGTTGCTTTCATTACTAACTTTACTAGAAAGGACGTTTTAACTTTATATAGAAAAGTAAAGTTTAATTTCAGCCAAACATGCTCTAAATTGGGTTGATTCAAATCTGCTTATATATTAATTAATTGCTTTTAATGCAGTCTGTTCGATGATCATGTGTCCTAAATCCGGAAGAAAATGAGAAAATATAACAGCCGTAGGGGCATGGCTGTGGCTGCAAGCAATAATGCCAATACTTCGGATTTGGGGGATAAAGCACTAATCTTAAGAAGGCTAATGTTGATGCTGGCAGGAATCCTGAAGTTGCAAAATCCACGGGACAATTGTATGTTCTCTCATCTTACCTTTTTTTTTTTTTTTTTAATTTTAGAATCTGGCAAATCAATTTTACTACTAGTGTCTATTTTTTTGTTCTTTTCATATAACCATGGAGTTTAAGATAGTGTGTTTTAACAGTTTTTGACTCTTCCTTTACCTTGCTGAATCAATGTTGTTCATCAGCAATTCATCGCGTTTGTACCATTATAAGTTAATTATCCTCCTATTTATACAAGCATGAAGGTATTATTTATATAACTTTGTGCTTTGTGTGTTTCGATTAATTGTCGTCCCTCAACAATAAAATTAGAACAATTCAGCGGCAATTAACTTTTTGGTACAATCCAATTTGCCTGCTGAATGAGATCAGTGAAATAAAGAATCAAAGCGTACATCTCTATAATAGGTAACGCTTTTT